AAACAAATTGTTCAATAGCTACACACATCAGTGTTGGTACAGTAAGGTACCTACTTGAAGCAGAAATCATATATGCTCGCTCATACGCTTACATTTTTTGGTTTACAGAAAAGTGGACCTACATTAAATAAACCAACAAGAAGGCGGAAACCATCGTCATTATTCATATTATTAAGATTTATACGACGAACGCTATACGTTATCCTTTTGTCCCTCACCGGTTGAATCGCCGGTCTTCACATATTTCAAGACATAACAATTGCACTGTGACTATACGATAAAACTGACGCAGTCAAAGAAGCATTGCTGCTTTTCATTGAAGATCTTGCAATCAATTAAACTGACGTTAGTTTACCAACAAATTTTATGCCCTAGACTAGTACTCAATGTTTCAACTGAATTATATTTAGGAACTAATTGCCGCATTCAGACAAGTGGTCAGTGAGGATGGTAGAGAGGCACATGTACAGATCATGGTCAGGTAGCATGCAAGGCTTGAAGGTCTCAGGACTTCAGACGTTCCTCCCACACTCGGCTTCGTACGTTCCCTTCGCTGACCCCACTTCAACCCCCGACATCTTCAACCCTCCCCCCACATCTTCAACCCGCCGTCAACCCCCCACATCTTCAACCCGCCGTCAACCCACACATCTTCAACCCGCCGTCAACCCCCCACATCTTCAACCCGCCGTCAACCCCCCACATCTTCAACCCGCCGTCAACCCCCCACATCTTCAACCCGCCGTCAACCTATTCACCCTCAACCCACCGACAACCTACACACTTCAACCCACCGACAACCAACTCATCCTCAACCCACAGACAACCTTACCATCCCCAACAAACCGATAACCTCCTCTCCTCCGATTGTTTTCTACATTTCTTCTTCGGCACATGCAGAATTTTACAGCTGTTTAGGCCTATACTTTTAGGGCATCTATTGGACCACTTCCGTGGCATACCATGTCGAACTGCAGAGGCAATAGAGCGATCACTCCAGAGGTCGGCTAGGACTGCATTCCAGTATTTAGAGGATGCGAACATTCATGCATAGCAAAACGAATTTGTTTATACGACTAATCTCAGACTCTTAAAAATGTCCTCCCGAAGATATCGCTGTAGTCAATACAATATAAAAAGATTAAGAAACCCTAATAGAACAGAAATTACAAAGAAAAATTAAAAATTTTCTCATTATTGAGTAATTGCAAATGAAAATTCAGAAAATCATAACAGTATTTCTTTCCTGAAGTTGATAGCGTCTTTTCCCTGAGAGAGCAGAGCAGCGAGAAGAGAGGAATAGGCCCTGAGAAGCAGGTAGTAGAGACGACCAGGCGGACAATGGAGAGGTAGAGGCGGGCAAGGATAAGGCAAGGAAACTGCACAAAAACACGTCAGAGCAGAGGCTCTCTACCACAGCCCTAAACGCTCTCAACTCCCATGCGTGTTCCGGTAAACGTACAAACGTTTCACTGCAAAATTTGTCCTGAATTCCAGCTGGGCTTGATTTAGAAAACAGGGCATGGAGTATAGAACCTTATTAAGTACATTCACGATCTAGAATTTTCTAAACAGATTTAATATTAATATTTCTCTTCACGATTAATTATTCAATTTGAACGTAGGGGACTGACAGAGCACTCTGAAAAAATTGTTTCATCAAATATTATTATTCACGATCATTTGCCTCGCCCATTATATTCTAATATCTCACAAATTGACAATTAGGTACCTACTAAATAAGAAACATTTTAACTTAACTGTACGCTGAGTAACTGATGCTGAGATACATTCGAAAAATCATATATTTCTCTGCATCTTAAACACGAAAATATCGAATTAACGAAGCAACCATTGAATAAGCAAAGACAACGTTCCCGACCATTCAGCTAATAATTTTGAATGCATTGAACGGCAACATTTTCACGAACAGAAAACGGTGGCGGAGCACCGAGGCTCACGTGGGCCGAAATGTGTCGTTTTCGGTTGCCCCCACACGCATTTACATCAGTTACTGCAGTAATAATCACAATAGAAAGTTTTCTCTTGTTATCTGAAAGGAAACTTCTAAGATCCAGTGCAAGTTATGTACATGGATATGTTTGCAGAATATCTTACGTAGTTATCAGAATAGTGGTTCTGGTTAAGTAATTAAGTTTATCAGGATGACCTAGATATATATATTCACACTTTGCAGATTACTATCTAACACCTATATAAATACCATTAAAGCGTGATTATTAACTGAGAAAAAGTCAGAAAGTCCATATTCAAATTATTGCACTCTTTTTAATACTTTCACTATGATTGCTCATTTGCCTTACTATCCTAGCAGATGGTGACAAATTCGACAACTTGTGAGTTAAAACAAAAAACATAAATTAAGGATCTCTCTTTGACCCTATCCTTTCTTCGTCTGATAAAATATATGATGTTGATGTGGCACAAAATTTGGTAGCTTGTTGGTATTATAACCTTGAAATAAAGTTTTATATGCTCTGGGGAACACATAATATGTACCAGGAGCCATGCAGCAAAATTTTGAGAAGAGAAAATTCTATACATTTAGAAAAGCATATCAGAAACAAGATGACCCAGCAAATGTGGACAAATAATATAATGCATGAATTAGTAGCCTCAACATCAAGAAATTCTCAGAAGTAACCCATGATCAAATAAGTGGTCATAAGAATGCCAATCTCAGAATGCCCATCAATCACATACACTTCATTTAATTAAAAGCTTGCTGAGGTGAGCTTCAGCCTAACAAATGTTCAAATTAAAAACTTATTTGTATATGGAACTGTTCCTTTTTTTGTGACATGTTTATCCAAGGGAAAAATACTTATTTCTTTTAAATTATTTGTGACTGAAAGTTACAATTTTATTTGAAGACAGGATGCTGCTTGCTTAGTAGTTCATGAACTAGATTTTTCTGATGAATAATGCATTCAACAACATCCAATTGCAATTGTCATTGACAATTGCCACAAGATGCCATCTTTGCTTCACCACAAAATAAAACACCTATCATCTAGGAACATCTAAAAAGCTTTACTACCGGTACTTCAAGATATTACACATTATATACATATTATTAAAACCCAACAGAGTGCATTTCTTTATGGTGTTTTTACAGAAATTAAGTTCAAATATTGGCTCAATGTTTCACTGCATAAAGTGCAGTACCGCAGTGAGCACAAATAGAAACTCATTTGTTATAGATTTTAGTTGTGTGAAACAACAGTGCAAGGAACAGATATGGCATCAGGCTCAAATGCCTCACTTCTAACATTATTACATCAGGCTAGAACAAATAGCATGGATCCAACATGACAGAAATGTGAATCACATGCAACAGGCTACAACAGATCATATGCTGCATACATGACATCAGTCAAGAACAAATAACATGCATTCAACACGACATCAAGATATAACAGATATATATTCAAGATATAACAGATATATATAACATGAGTCCAACATAACTTTTGGCTACAATAACAGGACATCATTTTTGGTTAGGTTATACATGAACAGGTAAACATGGGAGATTGGATCAAAATACCCAAATGTTGGTTTTCTCCTCATAGGCAGCAGGAGCAAATAGTTTTGGATCAAGCACAGACTTGGCTAGATGAATAGTGAATAGCCTATGTGAAAATTGTGAACTGACAATCAAAAAATTCCTGCTGCTCCACATATCATTGGGCGAAGTTATCATGATTGATCACATTCATTAGGAAATGGTTCAGGCTCTAACAAATAATATATAACAGGGTTTGTTGTAAATTCAACATTAGTTCTGCTAGGTTACTGGCTTCATCACAGGATATTAGCCAAGTTATAAAAAGGAATGGTCCAGTTTCAGCCATGCTGTCCCATATGACATCTTCATCTGATCAATTCTTACCAGCCTAATTCCACCTTGCATGTAATAAGATTTTACCTCAGACTCCCACCTCCACAGATAACATATATTGGACAAAACACATTACAACAGAGTACCTTCATTGAGAGAATCCATTGATTTAAAACCTGTATAAACAAGAGCACAACATGCAATCTACCATAATCTGTTTATAAATTCAAAAGAGCAAGTTACTGAAGTTAGTTTCCTGGGGCAATACCAATCCAGCCAAATACCATGACACTCAAGTTGTCACAGCACTTACATCAATGAAGATATATATGTCATCAGCCTTTAATATGAATCTGATCAATTTAAAACATGAACAGAATAACAATTTTCTAGCAATTTTCAATAAGCTTTGTAGTTATAGCTATATAATAAAATTCTACAAAAGTACCAGGTAAAGTGACCTCCACACACTCCGCTGAGTGGCGGCAAATAAATAAATGACCATCAATAAATCAGACATCACATCATTTTTTGATAAAAAAATTACCAAAGAGAGGCTTTTTGCTAGCCTTGAATACTTTCAAACAAAATAGAAAATAAACAAGATTAAATAAATTGAATAATACAGCATAGGCCAAATAGCCTTTTAAATGCCTAATTGGATATCATTAGGGCTTGAATTTTGAGAACAAAGTCAAATATTGAGCCAAGTCTGCCAAGATGAACACTTTCCAATTCAGATAGCTTATGACCAAGTTTTACATAAATATCCATGCACAAAAAATATAGATGAATTCATCTTAGATGATTCAATTACCTATAGCTATAAGTAATCTAGACGCCTTGAACACAGATGGTGGGCTACAGAGAACGGCCACTGTTCTCAGGACTGGATAGGTCTAAAACTTCGACCACAACGTGCACAAAAAGTTTAAACAAGTTGCAAACTCAACAGTGGACACGCTACAACTTTCTGTCCAGAAGCGACACAATGTATACGAGAAACATCAAGTGGTATGATTTAGTTTACTAGGTATCAGTATCAGGAACAAGACACTGGATCATGCGGCCTATGGATAGTGTAGTGATAGCCTGATATGTTTACGTTACAATACTCAATAGATATCCATCTTACCTTTCCAAGCTCTGACATTTCAGCTCACATGGTGGTCGAGAGTAATCTTTGACGATGTCATTATATCAATTTGAAAACAGTGGTGCAAAACTTCAGTCCAGATCAACACTTCACAGGTTAAGGTAAGTTTAAGTGAATGGACACACACGTGGCTCACACCAGCACACACTACACCTCTACACTCTACGCCTGCATCGGGCGCTCTGCTTACAAATTCTGTGCGAAGTCTATCAGACCCATGAAATAGCGCAAGCTGGCAGCCGTCTTACCCCAAAACTACAAATATACCCTGTGTACTTAAGCGCAATGATGAAGTTTTCCGTAAAATTGCTTGCACTTCGTGCCTGCTTATACAGAGTCAATGATTAACTCGTACAATTTATTAATATCGAAGACAAAAGTCTCATGTTGCCGGAATTTTCCTTAATTCATTGGGCAAGTTTGCTATCACTGGTTTTGATTTTTTGGACGCAAATCTTTCAAAAAACATTTTCTGTAAGTTCTTAAAATAAAATATAAGATAAATTTATGAATTTGTTTGGAAGAAATCGTTTTAGATCTAATATTTACGACAGAAAATGAAATATTCAAGGCAAAAAAGTTACCCTTATTTTCGGATAATTTGGGATTTCTTTTGGGGTCGCTTAATTATTATATAAATATAATTTTGCTGCTACCTTTAAATATTGCGAATAGATAAATTATTTTTAACTACTCTATGAATATTTAAAATCTCTTTGTGATTTTACCAGAGATACTAAACCACTTTATAGTATGTGGTAGATGTGGGAGCCTGGGACGGAGCGAAATACGTGCATGTGCGGGTGTGTATGTGTGTGTGTGAAGACGTGTGTTCGTAGGCACGGAACTCAATGACGACATACGGTGACGTTGTAGAGGTCGGACGAAGTTGCGCCAAGAGTTCTAGTCCCCAGCTCTTCTCAACGAGCCGACTACAGAACATTCGCTTCAAAGATGGTGGAATTGGAGGTAAAATAGGGATACATAAAATAAATAATATAATTGTAAATTTTTTCGCCGAAAATTTTTCAAAATTTGGCTACAGCCCCACATGATGAATACGAGAGACTTTTGTTAAAGCACTTTGAAAACTTCATCTCTCAGTATGTATGAGTACCAGTAATTATGGAATCATATAATTTTTCATTATTATTAAATAAAGTAGAAGGATGCGTAAGTTATTTGTAAATATTTTTGTTTTGAATCAAATTCACTTTTAGTGATATAAAAGAATTATTTTATAGTTTTGAGAATAGAAAACCAAATTTCGACGGGGTTTAATTAGCGTAAATTTTATTATTTATTTGCTAATTGTAAATTTGTGGAGGATGTCAAGCTTCATTTCATACGGCAAATTTATAATTTCCGTTGAAGTGAATTATAAATTTATTGTAAACTGGAAGAAATTAATCGAGCCCTATTTTCTTGTTAGTAACTTGTATAAAATAACAAAGTATGAAAGCTGGTCGATAGCTGATGGCGTCGTCCCAAGACGTTCTGATGTTCGCCAACTGAATCATGTACAGGGACGCAGATTATTTCGTGCTTTCCATATTTCTTCGTACTTTATTCATTAAATAACCTGAGGAAAATATCATCTCACACTGTTTTTTGTAGGTTTATTTGGATAAAACATATACTACAATTAATTAATCCTATAAAATTGAGACATTTTCTGAAATAAAACTTTATATTTGAGGAAAAATTGTCAAAAATAGACAGTTTTTGAGTTATTTTCGTTCAGTACGCTGCGTATGGCAACACCGTTCACTGCTGAGCAAGACCTTGTTCGGTCTAAAATGATGTAGAGCTTTTTCTCTTGCACCGTTCTCTTTCAAATTGGTACTTATTTGTATTAATCATCATTCTGTTCATTAACATGCGATATATATATTTTACGATATTATATGCATTCAAAATAATATTAAAACCAAGTGACCTAAGATTCCAGAAGCGCGTGAAGGAATAGCATGATGGGTTTTGTTAGCAGCGAACACCGAGACGGTGTGTCCGACCCCTGAGTGTATGGAGCAAGAGAAGCGAGCACTCCTGCTGCAGTCGTTCCGTGTCAAAGAAGGGATCAGCTGACGGACCCTTTAAATGCACACGCTGCCGCTCACATTTGAACGTTTACGCAGAAGGAAACCATTGGGCCGTGCAGGCAACGTTTGCCAGAGCTATTGATAGCTGCCGAAGATGCTCGTTCGCCTCTCGAGGGCGATCCTCTACATCACGTGGCGCTACATTTCTCGTCCTGCCATTGCAGAGGCATGACATTCCCGATGCAGACTCCTCATCCCTGTACTGCTGTTGCAGAGGCATGTCATTATGACATTCACTCTACAGACTCTTCATCCCTGTACTGCTGTTGCAGAGGCATGACATTATGACATTCACTCTGCAGACTCTTCATCCCTGTACTGCTGTTGCAGAGGCATGACATTCACTCTGCAGACTCTTCATCCCTGTACTGCTGTTGCAGAGGCATGACATTCACTCTGCAGACTCTTCATCCCTGTACTGCTGTTACAGAGGCAGGACATTCACTCTGCAGACTCCTCATCCCTGTACTGCTGTTTCAGAGGCATGATATTCCCTCTGCATAATCCTTATCCTTCCACTGCTGATCCAGATGCATGATATTCTTCTAACCTCAGTCACTCATCAATACCCAAATAAATAACTTCTGCCAAATCATGAGACACGTCATCGAGGGCTCTGGTGCTGATAAGAATTCCACATAGAGGTGAAAAGTCGCTTAGCGCTACTGAATTCCAATTTTCGGAAACATGCCAGTTTTCCCCTGAGAAAGTTCCTGACCTGAAGTTTTCATTTGTAGCTCTGGATCAGGAATTGATGTCCAAAAATACTTCAGTAGGTTTATGATAAAAGTCAAAGTATATTGGTTAGTTTCAAATTGCACCATCGCCAAAGCTTCGAGTTTCCAGATTACGTGATACGGGTAGCTTTGCTGCTGGATGCTATTTCGTCCCTCCGTGAAGTTCCTTGTGGACAAGGATATATGATGATAAATTTCTCTTCATAGATGTGAGTTTGTGCTTACGCAAATCCACAATTAAAACCTCAATCTAATATTTTCAGTGCATTTATTACAGCGAACTAAGTGCTTCAACCAGCAACGTTTCGACAAAAATTTTAACGTGTAAACTAAGTATTTCTGCGAAGACTTGGGCGATCAGCCGATCACCATACCACGCGAGTGATGCTTAATATCGTTATTCAAAAATCCGTCTCTTATTAATTTAAACACGTCAATGAATTTCGATGGATTAGTTGTCTGCCACTTGACCTTATCCGGCACTGTAGTTATCGCTCCTCCACGCTTCATTGTCAGCAACCACCGAGTATGTAATTGTCTTCAAAAGACTCAAGAGTTTTCATTGTAGTAGTTTGCATTCACGCGTAGTAAAGAGTTGGACGCTTTTGAAGCTTGACTTCGTCATGGACTCATTGTCAGTTCCCAGACCAGACTTTAGACAACAGTAGATTACGTGTAAAAGTAGGGGCAGATTTTCTGAACTGCAACTAATTCGAAGAGAATAGACTCGAATGAATTTAATTCTGTGTGTAATTGATAGACTCGCGAAGAGCATGAGATCTAATGAACCAAGTGCGTCTTGGCCCTATTGTACATGAAATTTACCTGCTATGACATGAATTGCCTACATTACTGTACAGAATCCTGCCTCGGTCATGACTAAGAGGCGTTGACAAGGATTAGTCGCGTCAAAAAAGAGGTTGAAGTGCACTGTAGTGACGGTTTTTACTACACGTAGACGATGACAAACAAGCATTGATGAGGCCTTAAATTTTATTGTTGCGTGGACAGAGCTTTGAGGGCTTAGTTGGTTTTAGATTCTGGGTGAAGTTTTGTGGGCTGTCTGGTGCATTGACTTATTTTATAGAGTGCTGTGCCTCATGCGAACACGTGAAAAGATGACATCTTGTCGAAGAGATTTCAAGATCTACACTTTCTACAGTGTGCTGGTAAGGTTAATATTGTTGTATAAGGTACTTAATTGGACACATTCTTCAAACTTCATAATCGCGTAGACATTAGTCTAAAGAACCATAATAAAGTATAATAAAAAAATTGTACATTTTTTTAATGTTCGCAATACAAATTAAATTTTTTCTCTTTTGCTCACGATGCAGCCGGACAGATTAAACGAACGCTACGATTATATTACACTTCTATTTCCAGGTGAATTTCACAGCCTCACAAAGTGCAGCCGTCTACGATGCAGTGGTCTACGATGGGTGCTACGCATGCAGACCGCTGTTCGGAATTCGTAAGTATATTCATGAACCGTATTTATTATGATCAAGTATTTGTGGCTTCAGTGATTAAATTTCAGCGCTATTTACTGCGAATGATCTGCGGTGTATAGCGACATGTGTACGTTCTTGAGTCATTTAATAGTGAACTAATATCACCTGAAGTCAGATTTGGTATTTCATTTGACTTTTATTTCTGCAGAAGTTAGAAAAATCGTTCAAGCTTACATATTTGGGTCAAAAATGTGAAGTTATAGCAGAAGAGTTATTTTCGAAGTTTTTAGCTTCGTTGTGTTTTGTGTGGTTGCGTCTACGAACTCGTTAACTCGGGTGATTCGATCTCTGATAAAGAGGTAGCGGCGTGGGCTCGAGGGAGCCTAGAGTTCGTCTATCTTATCTCGGTTCCGCTATCGTCCATGATAGTTGCTGTAGTCCGACCTTCAGCACGGCAGCGATGTGCGCACCGCGTGACCGGGCCGGTGTTCAGACTACGTGACCGGGCCGATGTTCGCACATCCGTAACCGGACAAATGTTCGCACTTTGTACCCAGGCCGATGTGCTTTCATCGTGAAAGGGCTGATACCCCAACAATGTAACTGGGGGCGATATGCGCGTTTCACTACATGGATGGCCGATATTCAAACTTCGTGTTCGGGCCAATGTACTGTATGCATTATATAACTTAGCCGGTCGACGTACTACGCGACCAAGCCTAGGTTCACACTACGTGACCCACCCGATGTACGTTCTACGTAGGTCTAGCTGATATGTAGACTTCGTGACTGGGCGAGTGTTCGAACTACGTGAGCGGGCTGACGTACGCATTTCGTAATCAGTCTGATGCACGTTCAGTTCGCGATCGAACCGATGTGC